TTGGATATCAGTTTCCCAAACAGGAATTGAAATCTGGTCACAACAGAGAAAGAGTCAGATTCTAACCATTATGCTATGAGGCAACTCTCTCATCATTGATTTTAACTGTCCCTCTGGCCGCCTACCCAAAAGTGGACTTTTAGCAGCAATTAAGACACCATTTGTCAGAGTCCATCATGAAAAATGCTGGGCTGGATGAAGCACAAGCTGTAATCAACATTGCTGGGATAAATAACAATAACCTCAGATGACAGCAGTTTTCTGCCAGAAAGCAGAGAACTAAAGAGTCTCTTGATGAAAGTGAAAGAGGAGAGTGTAAAAGTTGGCTTAAAACTCAACTTTCAGAAAACTAAGATCATGGCACCTGGGCAGATCACCTCATGGCAAATAGATGGGGAAACAGTGGAAAGAGTGACAAACTTTATTTTCTTGGGCTCCAAAATCACTGCAGATGGTGACTGCAGCCAGGAAATTAAAAGACACTTGCTCCTTGGCAGAAAAGTTACAAGCAAACTAGACAGCATATTAAAAAGCAAAGACATGACTTTGCCAACAAAGGTCCATCTAGTCAAGCTATGGTTTTTCCCTAGTCATGTATGGATATGAGAGTTGGATTATAAATAAAGCTGAGTGCGAAGAATTGATGCTTTTAACTGTGGTGTTGAGAGTCTCTTGGACTGCAAGGAGATCCAACCAGTCCATCCTAAAGGAAATCAGTACTGAATATTCCTTGGAAGGACTGATGCTGAAGCTGAAACTCCAATCAGTTAGCCACCTGATGTGAAGAACTGCCTGATTTGAAAAGAGCCTGATGCTGGGAAAGGTTGAAGGTGGGAGGAGAAGTGGATGACAGATGAGATGTTTGGATGGCATCACTGACGTAATGAACATAAGTTTGAGTAGGCTCCAGGAATTGGTGATGGACAGGGAATACTAGCGTGCTGCAGTCCATGGGGTTGCAAAGACTCGGAGATGACTGAGCGAGTGAACTGCACTGAACTGAACTGTTTATAAAATAGTTTTACTTAAAATAGCCAAAACTTGGTGGGAAAAAAGCAATTGCTCAACAGACGAACAATTTATGTCTGAACAATGCAGAAGTAGCTTAATAAAGGAATGAACTGCTGATACACTTAAAATTTGTGAATATGAAAACATTATGCTTAGAGATCAAAGATGACACAAATAGATGGAGAGGTACACCATGTTCTTGGATTAAATGAATCAGTATTGTGAAAATGACTCTACTACCCAAAGCAATCTAGAGAGTCAATGCAATCCCTGTCAAGTTACCAATGGCATTTTTCACAGAAGTAGAACAAAAATTTTTACAATTTGTATGGAACCACAGAAGAACCAGAATAGCCAAAGTCATCTTAAGAATGAGAATTGAATCTGGAACAATCAGACTCCCTCACTTCAGATGATACTTCCTCACTTCAGAAAGCTACAGTAATCAAGACAGTGTGACAGTGGAACAATAACAAAAATAAAGATCAATGGAGGTGATACATAGAAGAAGACTTTGATGTCTTCCAAAGAAGACATAGAGATGGCCAAAAACCCATGACAAAATGCTCAACCTCACTCACTATTCTGTCAGGACTAGAGAAATGCAAATCGAAACTCCAAATGTGGTATGACCTCACACCAATCACAATGGGCATCATCAAAAAATGTACAATGCAGGAGGGGATATAGAGAAAAGGGAACCCTTCTGTGCTCTTGTTGGGAATGTACATTGATACAGCTACTATGGAGGGCAGTATGGAGGTTCGTTAAAAATCTAAAAATAGGATCACCATATGACACAGCAATCCCATTACTTGGTAATACCTTGAGAAAACCATAATTTGAAAAGACACATGCACCCTACTGTTCATGGGGTTGCAAGGAGCCAGACAGGACTGAGCAACTAGCACAGAGTATTTATACACACACACACACACACACACACACACACACACACATATGCAGGAAAAGAGAAACAGATGTAAAGAACAGACCCTTTGACTCCATGGGAGAAGGTGAAGGTGGGATGATTTGAGAGAATAGCATTGGAACATGTATATTACCATATGTGAAATAGATAGCCAGTCCAGGTTTGATGCATGAGACAGGTGCACGGGGATGACCCTGAGGGATGGGATGGGGAGGGAGGTGGGAGGAGGGTTAAGGATGGGGGACATATGTACACCCATGGCTGATTCATGTGAATGTATGGCAAAAACCAATACAATAATGTAAAGTAATTGGCCTCCAATTAATATAAATAAATTTATAAAAAAATACAAACACCATGGACAGCATAAATAAGCAAAATGTTATCCATATATTTCTAATGAATGTTATAATTAATGGGGACATTTCTTTTTCAGGAAAAAACCTGAACAGTAATAGAAATAAATTAAGGAAATTTAAAAACGAACAAAAAGCAACAACAGAAAAGTTACTATGCCAAACAAAACATGTGAGACACAAAGGAAAATACATAATCCGATCTGTATGAAATCCTTGAGAAGTAGATCTAATCTCTGGCGATCGACAGATTATTGGCTGCCTGGGGTTGATTGAAGTGGTTGTGAAAGGACAAGAGAATATTTGGGGTGATGGATACATTCTATATCTGTTACATGTATAGGTAACCCTCAAACAACACAGGTGTGAATTGCACAGGTCCTCTTACAGCTGGATTTTTTTGATAAATACATTCTATGATATGACCCATGATTTTTGAATCTACAGATGTGAAACTGAGGCTACAGAGGGCTGATTGTAAAGTGTACACATATTTTTTGACCACATGGAGGGTCTTAATACATTTTTGCTTTCAAATAACTAAACTTTCTAAAGGGAATGCTGCTCGGAGATATAAGTTGTTACTTTCATCTCCACCTGCCTACCTCCCATCTTCATGTTGGTATCTAAGAGATGCCTCAACCTCAGTCAAGTCCACAGTCGTGACTTGTCACTTACCATCTGTTCTTCCAGGGGCCTCCCCCATAGTTGTCACCGCTTCTTGTTTCTCAGGCCCAAACAATGGTGCCATTCTTGGCTGCTCCCTTTCCACCAACTCCAGATATGAAGATATGAATTGAAAAATAAAGCTGATTGTGTATTTCAAATGTATCTAGTCCTACCCAAATATGAGCACTTACTTTATTACACTACTAGTACCAGTCAGCAGTGAAGTGAATTTTAAGTCAATGGTACTTTATTTACTGCTCATGTAGATGGGATAAAATGAATCCAACAAAAGTCAGTTCCAAGTGAATAGCGAATCTAAATGGGAAGACAAGAAAAACCGGAAGACGACATTGGGGAATATCTTCATGATTTCAGGTAGGCAAAAATCCAAGGACAGGACACTCTCTGCTCTGTTCATGGTGTATCTCCAGTGTAGATGCCCAGTATTTACAGAAGGAACATAAAGGAAACTTCAACAAAATCTGTAGAAATCTACACACATGTAAGTACTTGGGTCATTGTTAAGACACACAGTGTTCTTAATGACCAGATTGAATGTTAGAAATGTCACTTCTTATTAGTCTAACATCTAATGCAATCCTAATTAAATAACATTCAGACTGATTTTCAGGATAAACTGGTTCTAAGCTTCACACAGAAAAACTGAGCAAGAATACCTCAGGAAACCCTTGAGGGAAAAAAATCAGGTCAAGTGATGAGGGGTGATAAGGCCTACCAGGAGATGAGACATATTTTAAAGCCATGATTATTATCATTTTGTTGAAGAATCCAGGCCACTATGTAGTACAAAGTGCATTATTGGCTCATGAACCACTACTGAAAATACTGCCTATTGTTAAGCCTCCCCATTCAGAGATCTGAGAAGTGTGAAGACACATGTGCCTTGGACTGGTCTTGATGCATGGATTCTCAGAGAGATGAAGAGAACAATGAAAAAGCCAGATACAGACTCCCAAACATGCATACTTTTAGTAGATTAACATAATATTTCAGATAGTGGGGAAAAGGGAGATCTTTTCTTGACTGATAGTCGGAAATCTAGATAGTCATCTAGGAGAGAATATTCTTGTCTCACACTATATATATATATACACACACACACACCTCCTACAGCTGGCCCAAAGGTGTCAACCAAAAGCCAAGAGACAGGCAGTTGTGTAGAAGCCAAGGGATAACAATTATTATATCATCAGAATAGTAAAGGCCTTTCCAAATACTCCAAAAGTCACACAAACTGATAATCTGCATAAAAATGAAACCCAGTGGTGAGGCCAATCCTGTCCCAGAATTGAAGTGAAAACCCAAAAGGAAAGCTGGGAGGTAGCCTAGCCCCTTGCCCCAACCATCGTGTTTTCAGGGTCCTCATTCTCCCCAGAACCCCACCCACATGGCTGGTGCTGTTCCAATTGATATGGGCCCTCAGTCAGTTCCTAGAAGGAGAAGGTCACTTATATAGAAAGCAGGTTGAACGGTGCCCCCAAAAGAAGTGTGCCCCAGAAACTGTGAAGGGATCTTGTCTGAGAAAAGGGTCTTTGATATCAATAGACTTGCTCCACAAAGGGCTGCTACAAACCATCTATTTGTTTAAAACTTTTTTTTCAAGGGACAGGTGTGTGAAGGGTGATAAATCAAGACTCAGGAAGTCAAGACATGCCTGCGCTTAGTGTAGCTTCAGAGGATGCCTCGGTGGCCCCTACCCACTGACCTAGCAGAACAGGGCCATCCAGCATTGCAACATCGAAATCTGTTGCAGCTGGCCTGTGCTCTGCCTTCCCTGATGTCCTACAAGCTCTTCTGCTTTTAATGGTCTCTTGAAGTAACAGCTCTATTGAGATACAATTAATATTAACAGGCGATTCATCCATCTAGAGCTTACAATTCGGTGGTTTTTATTATTCTCAAAAATCACCATTACACTATGCAATTTCAGAATCTTCCATCAGCTCAAGATGAAAACGAGGGACTCCCCTGGTGGCCCAGTGGTCGAGAGCACACCTTGCCGCTCAGGGGGCTCAGGAAGCGGACTCGCACAGCCACGAAGCAGCTGGGCCCACGCAGCACAGCCAGCGAGGCCCGCCCGCTCTGGAGGCCAGCGGCGCACCAGAGTCTGTGAGCCGCTGCACGGGGCCTGGGGAGATGCAGGGAAGACGCAACACCAGCAGCTAAAATGAGACGAAAACAAATACGTAAAATTAAAGAAAAGAAACATCATACTTAAGACTTTAAAACTTTAATATTTTTAGAGAAAGAGTTTTAAATTCTAAAAGGTGCTGTACAATTTTCCAAAGTTTCATACCTGATTTCACCATCACCTGTATTCCCATAATAACTTTTTTTCCTCCCCCACCCCTGTATTGTTCTCCCTACTACTATATCTTATAGATATATAAAATTGTGAACTCTGAAAAATAAACGCAAAAAAAACCCCCACAAATTGATGTAGTGTGCCATCTTAACAGGGCAGGGTGTTCCTTGACTTCCCTAGTGATTAGTGGGGCTGAATATTTTTAACTGGCTGGACATTTGTGTGTCTTTGGGGAAACGTCTATTTAACTTCCTTGCACATCATCTAACCAGGTTGTTTATCTCCAGTTTTAGGAGTTCTCAATATTAGAGGTATAAATCCCTTATAACATGTGATTTTATCACACTAGACTTAATGGTGGGGTTGCTCAGCATGGTCATTGGTCACTATGGACTCAGCCCCTCCTCCGTGCTCACGTCCTCTGTCCTCACAGAAACATGCATGGTTCACTACAGAGAACTTTCTGGGGCACTTGTGTATACTAGAAACGCAATGGCCAAATGCGAGGAAAAGACACAGAAAAGGACACCTGCCTCTTGGGTGCTTCCCAAATTACCAAAGACCTGAAGCCTTTGATACTTTGGATTTTGAAAACTGTTTCTAACTATGCAAATGGAGAAAGGAGGCCCATTGGGACTAGTTGATATCCATTGGGAAAGGATGTTAGATCCCTACCTCACAAAACACCACCAAAGATTAGACACATACCAAGAACCAACACTTCAAAGAAAAACTTGACAAATTTTAGAACAATTTTTGATGAGTGAATCTTTTTTTTTTATTGAGGTATGTTGATTTTTAATGATTTGTTAGTTTCAGGTGTACAGCAAAGTTATTCCATGATTCAGTCTCTCAGGTGCTTCCTTGGGCAAAACTCATTCCCTTTAGGAGGCCCCTGGGCCATGTCCTCTAACTCAAAACAGCTCATAATCCTGAAAACACAGAGCAGGAAGTGGTGTTGCTTGTGGGGTTTTTTTGACTGCATAAATTATTCTAACAAGACACAAAAAACAAGCCTAGAGGCTAGGAGAGGATCTCCAAACCTATCTTCAAACAGGAGGCCTTCCTCCCTTGAATGTGGGTGTGTGAAACTGGGCTTGGGAAGGGAAGAGGTGTGTCAGGAATATTTTGTCAGGAGAGAACAAAGTGGTGTGTGGAGAGGATGGCAGGCACGTCCCAGGACATGAGCACTGGGACACAGTGACTGCACTCTCATTCCTGCTCTTGGGGCATCGCCCTGTCTCGCACCCTTGACACAGCTCAAATGTGAGTCCTGGAGAGTACGGTCACATGACCTGGACCTGGTCAACTGGTGTGTTCCATCCTCCCTGGCCACCGTGATTGGCTTAGGACTGGGGCGGTGACCAACCCGGGCCCAAGGCCCGGCCTCACACTGGAATCAAGGGGAAGAAGAGGTCTCGTTCTGCCGGAAGGGGTGGGGCCGGGTGATGTCAGTCTACAGCAGTGGGAGGGGTGTGAGGTCGGCCTGGGGCGGTTGGTGGCCTTCCAGCTCCCGTCAGGACAGAGTCGCCGTCTTGAGGATGAGGGCGCTGCTGAGCCCAGGTGTTAAGAGCGCCTGTTCCTGGTGTGGACCCGGAGCTCCTCCTGAGACCTGAGGGAAACGTCTGCTCGAGAGTCCTCTTCTGCTTGTCTGTCAGCTTGTTTGAACCTCGCTGGGTTTTCTGTCCAGCTGGCTAAGTGGAGACCTGCAAATGCAACTGTGTGGGTTTTGGCTGGCTTCAGGAAGAAATGCCAGATGCCACTGGGAGACTCCAGTTGAATATGAATTCAGGTGATGTCTCTTCGGACCAGATATAAATTCTAGGAAACCCAAATTAGTCTTCACAGGATTAAGATAGCATCCTGCTAAGAGAGCAATTGATGTCCTCATTCTAGAGGATGAAACTGGTGCTCAAAGAAGGGGCACCTTGGATACTACAAGGAGATGTGTACCCAGACAGAACCCTCAGATTCTACCATTTGAACTCAGGGAAGCCACTGGTGTGGGTTGTCTCTGTGACACGGGCTAAGGCACCCAGCCCACATGATACTGCCGGGGCCTGACTTGCTAACTGCCATCTGGTAGCTTTGAGACTCACAAAAGCAGTTTGCGCTGAGGAGAGGAAGGGCACCTCTCTTCATCCACCCCACCACACCCTCCAGATTCCCACTTACACTGACACCTTTCTCTCGATTTCTGAGGAAGTTACAGAGTCCCCTCATGTGACCACATTTGCTGATTACTGTTCACGGGCTGCCATGTGGAGCTGCTACAGGAGAAGCCAACAGCCTTTGCATCTGAGTACCTCTGTTTCTTTGGACCTTGGGGGCCCTATTCCCCACTCGCACACCACAGGCCTTTCCGAGTATTGTGGGGACCCTCACTCAGCTTGCAGCACGTTGTATCCCTCGCTGTCCTTGCCATCCCTCCCTTGAAACTCTGCTTGTGAGCTCCTTTACAGCATGGCCTGCCTGGCTGCCACCGGACGGACAGAGCTGACAATGAAAAACAGCTCAGATCTGACAGCTCAGAAGCTCTGTAAAAAAGGACCTCACTCTTCACGCTGTAGAGGGTGACGTAGCCTTCAGGGTTTTGGAACCAGTGCTTGGGCCAAAGTGCATTAAAACGCCTGTGGAGGGTTCTGGCTATAATGGCAATGGTTTGAGTCTCCTAAGGTTCTGAAGGCCCACTGTGTGCAGGTTCATGGTGCCCAGAGAGGAGAAAGTGGAGGCCTGCCCTGGAGGTGGTGAGAGCTCATGGATGGTGAGCTGCCTTCATGAGGGAGTGGTGTGGGGCCAGAGAACGAGAACCAGGTCTGCTCCCTCGTGTGGTGCCCAGGGCAGGTTGTCACCAGAGGAAACAGTTACCATGGTGATGACCATCACTGCTGTCTGCAAAGGGTTTACATTGGTGTGTGTCTTATCCTGAGTGGGCAGGTCATCTATAAACTACACTGGCCATGGGCATGGCCTCTCCTTGGACTTCCTGTGTGTTCTCTTCTTTATGGAACATTGATTTCCTTGAGGGTTTTGGGGCCACAAGGATGTTGGGTCATTCTCTAGCCTTCTCTCATGAGGGATGCTTTACCAGTTATTTTTGTGGTTTCTTTTTCCAGCTCTCTTTCTTGGCTTATTTTGTGAGTTTGTTTGTGCCACAAGAAGAGCTCAGCATTTGCCTTCTGGTTGAGATGTCACACTTACAACAGAAATGCCTGCCTGGAGATTATGACGACATTTGCCAAAAGGGCTTCATTTGGCCAATGATATCTTGAAAGTACCTACACCATCCTTTCAGATACCCAAAGGTACTTCAAATGAAACAAAAACAAGAATTCTGAAATGTAGTCTTACACCATGAGGGGAGTCAGAGAAAAACTACTTCTATCATTTCACTGATAGTCATTGATTGGAGACACCGAGCATATAGGAAGAAAAGAAGAAAGAATAGGATTAAAGTTTTTTCAAGACAGGGGGAGGGATGAACAGGAACCTGAATACAGAATTTATTGGGAGATGGGGTGGAAAGATTGAAAGGTCCTGACACTACAAATTGGTGATGGTTACACAGTATTTTCAAAGTCCTCAGTGTTCCCAAATTGCAACAATTACGATAAAATTTATTTAAAAACTTAACGGAAAAAAATACAGAAAGCCAAAAAAAAAAAAAAGAGAAAGTTCCAGACAAACCAAATGAAAAGTCTCTTAGGGGAAGGGAACTCAATCTCCCCTGTGTTGGGAGCAAGTTGATGACATCGATGGGGGGCAGACAGGGATAGAGGTTGCAGAGCCAACCCTGCCCTTGGACATGGTGTTTCTAGAAATGGAAATGTAAAAGGCTCTGAGTCTCTGTCCAGAGTGGGAGCCTGCTCACCCTGTAGCGGTGGGTCAGTCATCGTGGACATCTGGGTCTTGGGCAGGAGCCAGGGCAGGCTCTCCCTGCAGAGGTGGTAACTCATGCCCTGACTCGGGTTCTGCTGCCAAAGCCCGAGCAGGTGCAGGTGCAGGTGCAGGTGGATGTTCGGGCTGAGGGGGTGGGACATCGGTGCCTGGGGCTGGGGGTCCTGCAGGCACAGAGCTCCGATCTGCCCAGTGTGCTGGCCAGTACCCAGCTGGCCCAGTGTCTTTGGGAGAGAAAGGCTCAAGTCTTGATCTCCCCTCAGTGGATCCCTGGGTCCTGCATCTGGAGCAACCACCTTTGTAGGGACAGGTCTTGGAAGTGGAGCCTGGTTGAATTTGAAGGCCGGTGTTAGAGCTGTGAGAGAAGAAGAGGTTACCCACAGGCCAGCCTTGTCATGTTCGTATCTGGGGACAGAAAGCTTCCCTGAGTTTTCCAAAGAATACCCAGCATAGGATGCTTTCTCTGACTGCAGTCTGCAAGATGGTGTGAGGCCAGCCTTTGCTCCAGGCCCAGCCCCAGCTCTGGAGGACTCCTCCCTGTGAAGCTCCGCACCCCTCCCCACACACTCAGATTCCCAGCCCCAGCTGCCTCACCTCTGTGCTCTGCCGCGCTGGGCTCCAGGTCCTCGTGCTGCCTTAGAGGGAGGGGTCCTCGGGGCTCTGAGTCAGAGCCAGATGTGCTGAGCCCCGTAGCAGCCCGAGACTGCGCCCCGGGGTGTTTCCTGGGTGGTGTCTGGGCAGCAGGCCTTCTCCTCTTGCTCTTCATTCCCCCTGGGGCTGACCCCTCCATGGGCACGCTCACCTGGACCCTGCACTGGGCCTCACGGACAGGGGGGTGAGGCTCCGACCCCTCCCTTGAGGAGGTGGACGGCGTGTCCCCCTCATTGGCCACATCCAGTGGGAACCTCTGCAACAACAGTAACCGTCAGCCAGGCCTGCTTGGTGTTTTCCGAGCTGGGC